GTCATGGTGCACATACAGACTTTTAATCATTGTCATCCCTGTACTATATAACATTACAACTACTGAAATATTTATTCTCTTAGGTATTATGAATAACCTAATGATGCTTTGTAGTATACAAAAGAAAAGATAAAATATGTAAAACATAAAAGGTTGTCAGGCGAGACACTGCCCCCAAAAAACAAAAACAACAATACAACAAAATGGTGATATACAAAGAAGGCACCATTTATGGGTTTTAAGCATCTGGAGGTTCCATACTCACAAGGGTGGTGTTTCCTGGAATTAATCCCTCAGACACTAAGAACAACTATGTATGTAAGATAAAAAGGACTAGCACATTAAATAATACCATTTTGGCTTAACCAAATATATACATAAAAATATAGGAAAGATATATATGAAAATGTAAACAGTGGTAGAATATAAGCTCTTTCAGCCTTTATCTTACAGAACCTATGGAACATGTGCCACAGTGGGCAATAAGGTGGGATAAAAAAATCATGTGTAAAAAAAAAATTATGTGCAGTATAAAGTCTATTCTCCATGAACAGAACATTTATTATTATTATTATTATTTTTTTTTTTTTTTTGGCCCGGGGATCGAACTTGGGCCCTTGAATTTTTTTTTTTTTTTTTTTTTTGACCAGGGATCGAACTTAGGCCCTTGAACTTTTTTTTTTTTTTTTTTGAGACAGAGTCTCACTATGTAGTTGAGACTGACCTGGAACTCACTATATAGCCCACTCTGGTCTCGAACTCACAGCGATCCTCCTGCCTCAGCCTCCCAAGTGCTGGGATTGCAGGCGTGCGCCACCACACCCGGGGACCTTGCACTTTTGAGGCAGGCACTAGAACATTTATCTTTTATCTGTTTAAACACACACACACACAAACACACACACACACCAGAATTGCTCAAAGTTAGATTACAAATTGACTCATTTCTTCAATACTTCCTGCATTTCTATCAATATACACTGCTTTAATAATCAGAAAAATATTTTAGTGACTATTAATTCTTTTTAAAATTATTTAAGTTAAATGACTTGCTTAACAATAAAAACAAAGTGATTATTAAACAAAGAGGGCATTAAAGATAATCTAGTCCAAGCCTGGCAAGGAGGTGCACACCTATAATCACAGTACTCTGAGAATCTGAAGTGAGAGGATCAAAAGTTGCTTTTAACTGTTACCATTCATTTATATCTACTTAAAATACATCTTTCCTTCAACTCTTCCTTCCTTCTTGCTGTCCCATGCTTCTATGCATTTGGGCCTGAAGGTAGTCCTTTACCATTACTGTCATACAAGTCTTCTGGTAATTTCCCTCTGCTTTTGTCTGAAAGAATATTATTTTGCCTTCATTTATTTATTTATTTGTTTGGTGCCAGAGATTGAATTTATGACCTTGTGCTTGTGAGGCAGGCACACTGCCCCTGAGCTAAATCCCTGGCCTACCTTCACTTATTTTTGAATGCAGAATATGGCTTAAATATATAGCAATACTTAAAATAAGTATAACTTTCACTGTTTATGGTAATACCAAATATTCTGACTGCAAATATTATTTAATTTTGCTTAAGTTTGGGGAGAAACCTTTGCAAAAATACAGATTTTAATGTTATTAGAGGTTGTACTTTTGACTATTTTTAACATATTTTAAACTGTTCTAATAAAATGGGCAAACAATTATCGAAATAATGTAGTTACTATTTTGATAGCAGTAGTTCTTAATGATGAACATTAGCTATTGATGGGGCCGGGGATTTAGCTCAGTGGTTCTGCTGCCTGCCTTGCAAGCGCAAGGACTCAAGTTCAATCCCTGGTACCAAAAAGAAAAAAGAAAAAAAGAAAAACAAACTGTTGATGAACAGAAATTTTTTTATGGTGCAACCAGTCCAGTCACTAAAGACTAATGCTATCCTTGAAATAATCTTCCTTACAGGCATTTCTTTTTCTTTTCCTTGTGGTACTAGGGATTGAACCAAGGGCTTCATGCATACAGGCAAACATTGCAGCACTGAGCTACATCCCAGGCCCTTTTAAATTTTGAGTCAGGGACTTGCTAAGTTTCTCAGATTGGCTTCCAACTTGGATTTCTCCCACCTTAGCCTTCCCAGGGGCAAGGATTATAGGCAAATGCGAGATGTCTAGCTCTCAAAGGCATCTTTGATAGTTGTTTCAATTTTGAAAGCTATGTGAGAAATGAAGTTTATAAGTTGCAGGTCCTCAGTCTTGAAATCATCAACTATTTCAACATTTAAGAGATTTTTAGTTTGGAGAAATAATATTGTTCCTGTTGAAGCTGTGTTAACCATTGTCATTCATGTGAAGACAAACACTCTCCTTGCTATGTAGTATACAAAGTTCCCTAGCAGCTGCAAATCTTTTACAAAATCAGAAAGGTAAACTGGGAGAAGACGCTGTTGCAGAAAAGAATTCTAAATCCCTCATGTTTTGGCCTCTGTTACAACTGGCATGAGAGCATTACTGTTTGTTATACCTACTTGGTAAATAACAAGGGCAAGATATGATGCCATCAAAAGATCTTCTGGATTCTAAACACATAATAATTCTTGTCGTAGGGTTAATTTTGATTATATCAATAACTTTGGCAGGTGTCATACTAAGACTACAATAATCCAAGTTAATTTGTGAATTCTGTCCTAAAATAAGTTGACCGAAAAGCCATAAACTGTCTTAAATATTTTGTTTTGACCGAGAATACTAAGCTGGCAAAAACGTTTGGGAACCAGTGATCTTTAATCACTCAGAAGAGAATTCTTTGGTATTCATGGATCCCTTGGTATACTATTAAAAACTTCAAAATACTCTCCCTGAAACATATTTAATTGGCAGTAAAAACAAACAAAAACATCACTGCCAACTCTTCTCTCGTATTGAAGCAAGCTTGCATGCTGAACACAAGATGCCGTTGTTGGCTGAATCTTCATTTTTACCTACAGCAGAGTATGTGCCCTAGTTACTGTAGCCTTCCAATCAGCCATGGCTATGACACAGGATCCAGTTCATATGTGAACCAGCAAGTGCCTGCAACTCTTCACTCAGCTACTTGGGCAGTGGGGAGCAAAAGGGTACTTTGAGAGAGGTATCAACCTGTTCCAGCAACAATTATTAGTGTGAAAAGACTTATTTTATTTTTTAAAGAAAAGACATGTATTTCTTTTTCAGTTTAGTTTCAGGGACGTCCTGATGTCAAGTGAATAATTCTGCTTCTTTTTCTTTTGAGACGGGATCTCACTGTATATAGTTCAGGCTGGCCTTAAATTCTTGGTGATCCTCCTGCCTCAGCCTCCCACATACTGGGACTGCAGGTGTATACCACTATGCTCAGCTAAATGTGGTTTTTCTTGAAAAATCCATTAATGTAGTCCCCTATACTGAAAAATTTTCAAATGCTGAACCAAGTTTCATTAATAGGAAAATCAATCAATCAAGCAATCTACCTACCTACCTACCTTTTCATCTATTTACCTACTCACCCACCCACCTACCTTATATCTGGATGGGGTTTATGCCTGGGCTCCTGAGGAATACTACTCTATAGTTTCCTTATATTATTCTCCTCCCACCCTGGTACTGGGAATCAAACTCAGGACCTTGCACTTGCCAGGTAGGTGCAGAGCCACTGGGCTAAATCCTTGGCCCTCCTTGTACTATTCTTGCATGCTTTCAGTAGGACTATAACACTGTCCTCATAAAATGATTTGGGAAGTATTCCTACCTTTCTTTTCTTATGAAGAGGCTAAGGAAATTGGTGTAATTTCTCCATTAAACGTTCGGTATAATTTGCTAGTTAAACTATCTGAGCCTAGAGTTTTCACATTTATAAGGTTTAGGACTATAAATCTAATTTCTCTAGTAGACACAGGACTATCTAGCTTATCTACTTACTATTGAATTAGTTTTAAATTTTCTATCTACTCAGGAATTGATCCATTCTCAAGTTATCATATTTATTATGTATGGAGTCTGTACTAGTCTCTTAATACTCTATCAATATCTATAGAGTCAGTGCTCAGTTTGCCTCTTTATTCCTGGGATAAGGAATTGCTTTGTTTTGTTTGCTTTGAGACATGCCTTACCATGTAGTTCAGGATGACAGTCCTTCCAGTCTCAACTTCCAGAGTGCTGGGATTACAAGTACATGCCACCATGCTGGGCCTAGTTATTTTTTTTACTTCTTTTCTTTTGCTCTGTTACTCTGGCTAGAAGTTTATCAATTTTACTGATATTCTGAAGAGCTAGATTTTTATTTCACCGATCCATTGTTTTTCTGCTTTAACTCTAATTTCTGTTCTTACCCATATATATACATATTTTTAGACTGGGCACTGAACTCAGGACCTTCTGCTTGCAAGGCAGATGCGGGGCCACTGAGCTAAATCTCCAGCCTTTTATCCATATTTTCTTATCTCTCCTTGTTATAAGTTTAATGCCACGAGTTTTTGGGTTTTTTTTTTTTTGTACTGGTGTTATACATTTAAATTACATTGCTTTTTCTAGATTCTTGAGGTAGAAACTTAAAATTATAAAGTTGAAGCCTTTCTCCCTAATAAGCATTTGGCGCTATACATTTCCCTTTAAGCACTCATACATATTGAGCCTCCTTAGAAGTATATACTGGTGGACTTCCAGTTCAACAAACTAATTTTTACATAATCATTATATACAGAATATTTTAGTATTAATATTCAATTATTTCTGATCAGCTGGGGTTTTTTTCTCCAATTCTGAAACAATTTTCAGACAGACAAACTATTAATCACACTTTTTAAATTTCAGGCTTAGTAGCACTCTCATTTGAATATTAAATGCTTAGAATTAATAAGAAAAAGTAGGTATCAAAATATTTGGGCTGGAGGTGTAAAATGTAGCTCAGTGGTAAAACACTTATCTAGCATGCACAAGGCTCTGGGTTTGATCCCTAGCTCTGCAACACAAAATAAAACACAATATAACAAAACAATTTTTACCTGAAATTTGAGCTTGCTTTCTCCTCCTTCCCTGTCTCGTTTATGCATATTCACCATTAAGGCTTCATAACAATTCTTCCAATAAAGTGCCATATTTTCATGACCATCATAAAATGTATGAGTTTCATATTGCTTCATATAAGGAACAATCTTATTTAAAAAAAGAATATACAAAATTTGGTAAACACATCTACGAAAATGATAAATCAGTAGAAGAATCTTGCTCAAAAAAGATAAAACTTACATATTTTTCAATGTAAACTTGCCATTCGTTTGAACTGCAATATTCTTGAAAATCTTCAAAAAACGAGGAGCTAACATTGGTAAAAGGTAAAGAAGGAAGGTGCAAGTTCATGAAGAGAAGTTCATAAATTTTGGACACCAGAGTATGGACAAGGGGAATCAGGAATGAGTAGGTCTCAGTCTGTTCTTTGATTGATTGACTGAGAACATGTTCCAGCTTCCCTAAAATGTAACACGCTTCCTCCTGGCTTTCAATCACTTTGGTCTGAAGAATGGCATTTAGCTTGGCTGATGCCACTGCACAAACCTGGGAGATAGATGAGAAAGAGTAAAGTGAAGCAGAATTTAGTTATAGCAAGTTCAGAACATGGATATATTAAAGGTCAAGAATGATGAATTATCTCAGATCTTACTTTACTTTTAAGCTAACAAATAAGCCTGTCACATTTTCATAGTAATCTGCATAAAGTATGAGAATTTTGGACCAGGGTCAAAGATCGACAGCAATAGTAATAATCATAGTATCAGGACTTGGACTGGCTGCCCATACTGAAATTTTCACAGTGAGAGACGAAAAAGTCTAGATGATACCTACACATGGAGCTCATGCTTGGGGAGGAACACCAAGTACCTGGAACCTGAAACTTTTTTTATCTAGGCCGAAAGTTTGTCTGGAGGGAGTCAGGCCCTCATTTCCAAAGCCTTTCACTATACAAGCAACCTAACAAATGTATTTGACCCTCTACTCATGCAAAGAAATACAAGAGACTCATGGAAAGCTTCTACCACTAATGACTGGAAGAAAACCCTGTCTTTCTCTGGATATGAATGAGGTAGCATAGAGGTCCAATAATTGTTGCAAGCCATTTTGTGTTGACAAAGCCAGCTTAAGACAAGAGCAAGGCTAGGAGAAGAGCAATTTAACTGAATGAGAGCCCTGACCAAATCCTTCATCTCCTCTTCACTATGGGATTCTCAATTATTTGAGGCACTAAAGCTTCAAACTTAAGTCACTTTGAATTGGTGTTTCCGTTATTTGGAATAAAGTACTCTGATACATAAGGACAGGTATATACAGGTCTGAGTCCTTAATTAAAACCTAATTACTCTTAAAATTCCCAAGGAAAATAGATACCAAAGCACAAGCCCAGGCAAAGGAATACTCTAGATTACTATTAAAAGTTGGTCAAAAGGAGCCGGATGAGGTGGCGCATGCCTGTAATCCCAGCACTTGGGAGGCTAAGGCAGGAGGATTGCTGTGAGTTCGAGACCAGCCTAGTCTACATAGTGAGTTCCATGTCAGTCTCAACTACATAGTGAGACCCTGTCTCAAAAACCAAAAAAAAAAACAAAAAACAAAAAAGAGTTTGTCATAAGAACCAATGTGGAAAAGTAAATTAAGTGAATAAAGGTATTCATTTTCTTTAGGCTACATAAAAATCTAAGCCTTAAAAACCAAAACAGGGAAAATGACAATACTGTGCCTCCTTCTCCCTCATTCTTTTTACTGATTTTGAATATAATTACTTCCCAGAATAAAGAAAAGCAAAATAAAATAAATTATTAGGACTTGACACCACTTTAGGAATATATTTGTGGTAAAAGCTGATCTTGGAGGTGTGAACAGGCCTCTGCAGGCAAAAGAAACAAGAGAACCTTAGCAAAGCAAATGCATTGAAGGAAATGATCTCTAACATTGTCCAAGGCTTTAACTTCTAAATTAGAAAGTAAGGCTCTTCCACAATCCTCATATTCCACATGTTAATATCTAGGGGTTTTTTTGCTATGTGTTTGAAAAAATACTATTTACATAAAATGATGAAACCAGATGCAGTGGGGGTCACCTATAATCCAAGCTACTCAGGATGGAAGGTGATAGCAAGTTCAAGGTAAACCTAGGCAACCTATCAAGACTCTCAAAATAACATTTGCAAATGTTGAATATTCAGTACTTTGAGTTTAATATCATGATATTAAAAAACTCTAAGTATATACATTTACTTAAAAGTATAAAGCTACTTTAAATAAATATATCATTGAAGGGGGAAAGGGATAAAATAAAATTTATTTTAAAATAAATAAGTACATCATACTTTATACTAGACCACTTCCTCATTTTTGGACAGATACACATTTCTTTCTCCCTGACCTGGCCTCCATTATAGAAAACTGCTACAGCCAGGCATGGTGGCGCACATCTGTAATCCCAGCACTTGGGAGGCTGAGGGAGAAGGATCACTGAGTTTGAGACCAGCCTGGGCTACATAGTGAGTTCCAGGTCAGTCTCAGCTACACAGTGAGACCCTGTCTCAAAAAAACTGACACAAAAAAAAAAAAAAAAAAAAAAAAACAGAAAAGAAAAGAAAACTGCATTAGGGTCACCTGAGGAATTTTAGAAAACCAAACAAACAAACAAAAAAAACAACTATTGCCCAACTCTCTCCCCACATCTGAATGAACTACGATGAGTATTCCATGAGTATTATGGTTTAAATCAAGAATGCACCTGGGCCAAGGATTTAACTTAGTGGCACAGCACCTGCCTGGCAAGTGTGACATCCTGAGTTCGATCCTCAGTACACCCCCCACAAAAAGGCCTAATAAGCTCATAGGTGGAGCTTTTGGACAGTGGCTGAATTATGGGGGCACTATAGCTGACTTGCTGTTGGGAGATGGAGCCTGACTGGAGGGAGCAGGTCACTGGGAACATAAACTAGAAGGGTCCACCTTGCTCTCTGCTTCCTGGCTGCCATGACCTGTGCAGCTTCCTTGTAGCAGTCCATTCCACCATGTACTTCCTGCCTTGGAGCCAGCTAACCATGGACTCAAAAAGTGAGCCAAAATAAACCTCTCTTCTTTTAGGCTGTGTGTTGAGTATTCTGTCCCAGTGAAGAGGAAAGAGACAAAGACAACTGATGTCCTACTTAGGTAATTATTTTTAAAGGTCCTCTAGCTGACTTCATGTGTAGCGCCCAGGATGAAAATCACTAGCTGAATTGAGACAACTGGGAGGAATAGGTCATGTAAGCCCCTGCAGATGATATGCTACATCCAAATCAGTCAAAAGCCACATTTTTCCTTCAGGCTAGGAAATCTTGGCTTTCTATGTGAAATCTTGTAAAACCTGAGTAACTGGCAATTAGTACACATGGGTGAAACCAAAGCTTGATAGGCATCTTCATTTTGCAGGGAGCTCTATCGTAACTCCTATAAACAAAGATCCTTTAATGTGCAAAACCTCAGGAAAATACACTTTTATTTCTGAGAGAATAAAATTAAATGGGCTGGTAAAAAATATTTTAGATCAGCTACTCAGGAGGCTGAAGCTAGAGGATTATTCTGTTTGAGAATAACCTGGGCAAAAATGACTAATCTATGACTAATTTTGGGCAGAAAGATAGGCATAGTTTTACCTGTAGGTGCTGCACTCATTATTTAACAGGTGTTAGTAGGGGGTCTTACAACGGGATGGACACCGGATATTTAATGATGAACTATAAAGACATTTTGTTTTGGGAAATTTCACCAAATTAAAAAACACACAAGTGCAATAGGAACAAAAAAAGAGTTCTATCATCTATAAATAGCTACCTGGCTGGCATGCTAGCTTTAACTGCTTTAACCATCATTAGGCTAACATTAATAAAAAAGCAAAAAAAAAAAAAAAAAAAGGCTTCATTCTATTTCTAGGAGAAGAAAATAAAAAAGAATGCCATGTTGAACATCTTCTGTTGAAAGACTGTCTAGTGTTTCAGATTATGATGTGAGGATACAGTTTCAGAGTGGAATTACTAGATAAAGTACAATTATTTCTTAAAATTCTTAGTTCATATATTTTCAAATTGTATTTAAAACTGTATAGTTGAAACTTCCACTATCCTTATGTCCTATAGTCCATTTATTTAACTAGCTTTTCTGCATTTTCCAAGTTTTCTGCATTAAATGTGTTATTTTCATGATTTAAAAAAAACATGGAGAAATGAGTTTCACACAGGAGAAAGAAAAAGAACACCAAATTACTTAATATATGATAATTTCAATCATTTGAAAGACACAGTCATAGAAAAAATAACAGAAAGGAAATAATATATTTAAATACTAGTAATTGTTTTCTCTTAGGCTTTGGGATGTTGAATAATTTCTTTGTTTTTTACTCTTTATACTTTTGCAATTTTTCTCAGTAAGCATGTACTACTATGATCAGAAAGAACTATTTATTGAAAGACAGAACCATCAGATCATATTCTCTTTAAAATAAGACAATCTTATGTCAGAATTTTAACTTCTCCATATTCCTAGCAACACTATAACTCATTTTTGAAGATTACTAGAAACCAGTTCCATACTGACTCCTCTGTATCAATAAAATTGCAATACTAAATTTGCAAATACTAAAATAAAAAGGGCCAGGTAAATAGCAAGTAACTGTAGTTATTTTCTTTTTTGCTTTTTGGGAGAGGAATGGGGCCTCGCTTTGTAATTCAGGCTAGTCTTGAACTCACTATGTATCTCAGGCTGGCCTCAAGCTCACAGCAATCCTCCTGCCTCAGCCTCCCAAGTGCTGGGATTACAGACATGCGCCACCTTACCCAGCTAACCGTGGGACACTTATGACTAATCCAAATTGGGAAGGATACAGAAGAAAGCCTTATTATGTCTTAGAGAATGTCTAATTCAATCCAAGTATCACAAGTACCAAATGTAAATAATACAAAAATAAGAAGAGATAAAACTAAAATTCACATGGAACCTTTAAAATATAAGGAAGAAGTAAGCAATTAATTGTGATGTCATAAATTGAAACTCAAAGTGAAACCACATATATTACTGAAATGAATAAAAGAAAGTACTGGAAAGACAGTACCATTTATTTATCCCTAAATAACTCTAGTGCATACAAGTACAGAAAAGAAAAGAATTGACAAACCTGCAAATTGCCGCTTTCAATGAATCCCAGAAGCAACTGGATCTGAATTTGAGAAAGTTTTACCCAAACTGGACTTTCAGAACACCAGACTGACAGACACTCAAAGAGCAGCATGATATCCTCTAAAAGCTATTACAGAGGAAAAATTGAGAAATAAAAATAATTTTTAATGTACTGATTATGAGTTTCTCCTAACAAGAATAAAAAAAATCACAAATATATCAAAACTCATCCTATGTTCAGTTGGTGAAAGCCAAAAGAAACATCCCAGTAGCCCAATGTGGTGGCACATGCCTGCTGTCCCAGCTACCCAGGTGGATGAAGCAGGAGGACTGCTCTGTTTGAGACCATCCTGGGCAAAACGTTAAGACTTGGTTTTAAATACAAAACAAAACAAAAAACAAAAACAACAAAGAATCATCCCAGTAACAGCTAACAAAATCTGTGACTGTTCATTATGTTTTATCCATGTTTTAGGTATTAATGTTCCAAAAAGTGGGGAGTCACTTGGGGGTGAAGTTTATTGATACACCCCTTACCTAGCATCTACTACAAGGCCCAGGGTTTGATTCCCATTGCTGGGGGGAAAAAAGATACAAAATCTTTCTCTTGATAGTTCTTAACTACACAAAAGGTAATTCTAAAAATAATACTAACCTTCTCAGTCCACATGTTTGAATTATCTAGTCCCTCTGAATACAGGAAGTCTTGTATGATCAGTAAAAGTTGGAAGGCATTTTCAGCAGTTACTGGATTCGTTTTTGCCTCTCTGCTTTCTGTGAGTTCCCATTCTAACATCTTCTGTAGCAAACTAAGTATAAAAGAGTCCTCTTATTTTAAATTAGAAAGAGAATATGAAAGGTAAAACAATAGTTATTAGTAGTATTGTAGCTCCAAGATATACTATCACTAGCAGATATTACTAAAACATTGTGGATTGAATTCAATACAGTACTACTGGAGCAACTTTTCAATGTTTTATGTGTCTTTAATATACTTATTATCAAAAGTGAAAGTCACTGGTTTTACTTGACTATGAAAAAGATTTGACAATAACTCACATTCTATTCTCCACAAGATACTTAAAATGACTTCTTTCAGGTTTGAAATTGGGAAGGTTAGAGAAGAAAGCCTTATTATGTCTTAAAGAATGTCTAAGGAAAAATTTAGAGGTAATTTTCCCTAGTGTGCTGCTGTTACAAAGTCCTTTTATTTCCCGGAAACTTTAAGAGACCTAGAGAAATTTCATGAAAACAATGCTTTTTTCCTTTGCACAAAAATACTAAAATTTGGACAAACACAATGCATCCGTCCTCAGATACTCAGATGCAGAAAGCAATTTAAATAAGAAATCTGAAATCATATAAGGCCCAGACTTATTTAAGATTTAAATCTCCTCACATGGGAGTTAGTTTGCTATTTCTCTTTAGATTCTTCCAGGATGGTAAAACATAAGAAAAGAAAATGAACGTAGTTTCTCTTTTGCCCTCTATATCCATTAAATACTCAAGAAATTTTCATTAACTATCATTGTATTAAATTCTTACCTACTCCAAAAGGAGAGCAGAAAAAAAAATCACAAACTAAATATTTACTTACATTAATTTTATTTCATCTGATGGTCTAAGTAGCTCACTGGATATTCCAGGTTTAGTTAGTGCTGAAAACACTTGTCCCCGTTCAATCCAAGATTCATTATCAGACTTTTCTAGTCCCTTATACATTATATAATTTAAAATATCTGTCAGCAATTGAAGAAGCTCCTCCTCACATCTCTAAGAAAAAGATACAGTAATATTAAATTATCAGGGGAAGGAAGTGTTAAGAGTACATCATAAGAACTATCACACACTGACTAATCACGTAACTTTGTTTATTTATGTAATGATAGCAAAGTTTTATTAAAGGTAGGAAAAGAAACAGGCTCTGCAAAATGAGTTTGGGCCAAGAAAAGGTAGGAAAAGAAATACACCCAACAGTGTGAGGGTGGGCCACCATACAAGAGTGGACACAGTGGCTGTAACATATTTCTAGATTGGAACCTGGCATTAGTTGTTTTGGTTTTGTTTTTTCCCAGCAGTGGGAGTCAAACTCAGGACCTTGCACTTGCCAGGAAGGCGCAGTGCCACTGAGCTAAACTCCCAGGTGTAACATAATTTTAAATGTTGAGAAAGCTGGAACTTTATTAGGCCCTGGATATAACTGATTCATAAGACATTGGCTTTGCTCTCAAGACATAATCAGGTGAATTCTAGGCTTAGATCATGAAATTTAGAACATACATATAATACAAAACTCTTAGTAACTACTCAGACATTGCTAAGGATCAGAAATATGTAACAGACATAGGATAATAAAAACATATTTGGAAAAATAAGGAATTTTACCTCTTGGTTTTCAAGCAAAGAGAAGTCATCACCAAAGCCCGTATCACTGGTGCTGCATTCTTTATCGGACTGAGCAGAAAATGACTTAGACTCTATTGAGGATGGCGTGCTAGGCAGGCTATCTGGCATTTGGTTCCCACTGTCACTCAGTTCACAAGTGTCAACTCCACTGAGATCTAAACTCAAATGTGAAGGGTTACTATGCCAGAGCTCTTGATTCTCCGACTTACACAATTCTCCCACAGAGGTATCTTCTTGAATTAGTAGTGTGCTTGAGTCTAAAGACTGTCTATCCTCCAAACTCCACTGATCCGAAGACACACTAGCTGACAAAATAAAGTTGATTTTTTCATCATCTGTCTTTTCATCTGAGTTCCTCTTAGTATCTTCAGTTGATGTATTTTTATTGATTTCGTTCATTAAAACAGCTCTACTGTGCTTATGAAGGGACTTTCCATTTTCGAAATTTACTTTTAAAAAAAGTTTAACTAAGGTATCTTGCCAACCCACTTGTTGTGATATTTGATGTGCTGCATCTGGCTGGGACTGCAAAATCTGTAAAATCTGAAGAGAGTAAAATAGTAAAATTCTTCAAAAAGTGTATTTTATACCCAAAATTCTATTTGTAGTTACTCTGACGACAAAGTAATTTAATGAAAAGATGTGGCAATATATATTTCAAAAGATTACAATTTTAAATGATAAGCTATTTGGAGAAATAATATTGTGGTTTCAACAAATCTGAATATTATTCACATACAGAGTAGGCATATTTCAAGTATTAGCTGAAAAATAAAGAAAACTAAAATGACCCTAGACATGTCAAGATGTTATTCATTTGTTCAGATGGAAAGTATAAGTAGAATGATCATATATATAAAGCATAATAAAGTGGCATCTTCTCAACTACTTTCCAAGAGCCTACAACATTTACTCAGAAAATATTACCACAAACCTACTATGTGCCAGGTACACTTCTAGGCACTAGGGTTAGGGGAGCAAATAGGACACTTTGTTAGAACCTGGATATACAAGAATGTTTCCATCCTTCCTTTCCTTTTTTTTTTCTTTTTTTGTGGTACTGGATTGAACTGAGGGGCAGTCTATTTGCTGACCCACAACTCCACCCTTTTTATTATTTAGAGACATTATCTGAGATATAATGTCTTTCTACATTACCCAGGCTGACCTCATACTTTTGATCTTCCTGTCTCATGTTCCTGAGTAGCTAGGATTACAAATATGGCCATTACACTTGCCCCCATTCCATTTTTTCAAGTAAGTTAATGACTGCTTTTAGTAAAACATTTCCTCACAGTAATTCTGTATTATAGAAACAAAACAAAAACAAAATTTCTATTCTAAAAAATTAATACTGCTCAGAACTTCAATACTATTTTTTAGCCAGAATAAGAAGTTAAAATTAAAAGCCGGATTTGGTGGCGCACGCCTGTAATCCCAGCACTCGGGAGGCTGAGACAGGAAGATTGTTGTGAGTTCGAGACCAGCCTGGGCTACATAGTGAGTTCCAGGTCAGTTTCAACTACATAGTGAGAGAGACCCTGTCTCAAAATACCAAAAAAAAAAAAAATTAAAATTAAAAAGACAGTGACATGGCAATGTGTATGATCACTACTCTCCAACTGACCTCAAATTCTTTTGAATAAAATATTCTACAAACAGGTCTCAGAATGTAGCACAATGGTAGAATGCCTGATTTGCATTAGAAAGACCCTAGGTTTACTTTCCAGCACTGCAAAGAAATAACAGAATCCAGTTAACATCTTTAAAATGTTTTTTCAAAAAGCCAATAAACTTTTATATAGATGACAACTCTGGCTCCTAAAGTTGAGAACATTAGTAGCAACAGTACTAATATAAGCTGATATAAAAAACAATGAGTCACAATGATATGTAAAGTTTCTTTCTTCATTAATATAATCCATCAGTGAGCTTGGTGCCAGTTGCCAATTCTTCTAGATTACGCTTTTCTTACCAGAGGAACTTTTCATGATATAACTTTAAAGTGTTCATAAAATAGGCATTATTTTATGTGTATTTTATACACACACACACACACACACACAAACATACATATACACACTCTAACATGTTATATATATATTTTTTTTCTTCCCCCCCTCCTTGGTACTGGGCATCACACTCAGGTCCTTGCACTTGCGAGGCAGGTAGCGGAACCACTGAGCCTGCTGAACCACTGGCCCTGTGTATTTTATAATAGAGAAAAGTCAAGCTATACTGAGCTGTTTCTAACTAAAGGCAAGTGAAAAGGAAAGATCAATTAACATGACATTTCAAATTCTTATAATTAAGCAGTGAAAATCAGTGTCACACATTGGTGAAATATAAATTGGTACAGTTATTTTAAAGGACAAGATGGCAAAAATGCATCACTCTTTGATGGAGAGATTCCATTTCATAGAGTATGTCATACAGATGTATTGCTACACATAGGCAAAAGCTTCTTTTAATACCAGTTTACAACAAAATACCAAAACAAAACAAATGGCCTAATTGTCTATCAATAAGAAACCAGATGGGCCAGGGATGTAGCTGAGTGGCAATGCGCCTGCCTGGCAAGTGTAAGGTCCTGGGTTCGATCCCCGGTACTAGAGAAAAAAACAAACAAACAAACAGATAATACATTATAGAGGCTGGGCATGTAGCTCAGTGGTAGTGTGCTTGCCTAGCATGCATAAGGCCCTCCTGGGTTCATTCCTCAGTATCACAATAAATCGACCAAGCTTCATAAATAATTAAATAAATAATAAATAAAAATTGAATAAAAACTTTAAAAATACTTTACAGAATATTCATAGAAGAACTAGGCATGGTGGTACATGCCTGTAATCTCATCTACTAAGGAAGCTGAAGCAAGAGGATTAAATCTGAGGTCAGCCTGAGCAATTGAGTGAGACCCTGCCCCCACAAAAAAAATGTTTTAAATAGGGATAGGGCCCTAGCTTAGTCAAACCCTAGTACTGCCAATAAAATAAGACAAATGAAAACTACATAGTAATTAAAGACAGTATATCTATATAAATTTTTTAACTGACACTATGATCCAGAGGTAATCAGGAAATAAAATGAAAGCTGGGTGTGGTGGTGTTATGCCTGTAATTCCAGCACTCAGAAGGCTGAGGCAGGAAGAATGCTGCAAATTCACAGCCAGCCTGGACTACATAGTAAGTTTAAGGCCATCCTGAAATATACAGTAAGACTGACTCAAAATAAAACAAGCAAAACAAAACAAAAATTTTTTAAAAAGCAAGAAAGCAAATTAAACAATTAAGTGGTCAATAGTTACCACATAAGAGAGAGGAGGTTATGATCATGAGGCACACAGGATGTATATTGAATATAACTTGTTGTTGGAATATTCAAATTACAGAAATTTTAAAATATTATGTTAGTATATATCAATCATAATCATTGAAGATTTGTTAAAGAAACTACCTCTTGTAGCAAATTTCTAACTCTAGAAAGTGTATTTCCACATAGAGCTAAAAAGAAAAAAAACTGACATACTATTTCTTTTTATTATATGAAGTAAATTTACTGTAAAAATGAAACATTTTTTTGTAAAATGATTTTATTTATAACATAAAGTTGAAAGTTTATCTGTTACAAAATATGTAATGAAAGTTATTGACAGTATGATGATGATGTTATTGTTAAAATATATTTTAAAACTTTACTAACCTTTCTGCAGAGGACCACTCTGACGTTTACATGTGTTCTGTGAGATATATATACCACAGATAACAGATCTTTGAAATTAACAGGGTCTATGGCAGAAAAAAACAAATAGTTAAAATTCAGACTCATAAACTGCTAAAGAAAGAAACGTGGGTATTACTTAGATATTAACAAATGCTGAAATGATTATTTCATTTTCATATAAGAATTATAGGTATAGTCAAATTTTACCAAAAAAAAAGTTTAGAATGTTTGATACCAGAGTCAATACTAAGCTACTGCAATTTTCATCTAATTCCTTGAATAAAATGTCTATTCTATATGCATCTAATATTATTATCTATTGTCTATCTATGATCTATCTATTTTATCTTATTAATGAAATTGTAAACCACTGAAACTTACAATAAATTGTACCTAACAAACCCAGCTTCTGGCATAAACTTTAGTTTGCTGTAAATACTGAAAATTTTTTATTAAAATATTAAAGCTTTAAGAAAAGGATATGTATCTGAATTTAGTTTTCATTCTTTTCTTGGGGGGGATAAAAAAAGAAATTAACCTGTGTTATGTACCTGTACCAAGTTGCCACAAGGAATGTAAATATGAATGAAAGAAAGAAAGAAAGGCAAAGTTAAAGGGAAAAGAATCCTTCATTCATATTAATAGTATTATTTCTTATTTGTGTACTCAATCATTAACTTAGTCAATAAACACTGAGCAAGAAAAACCTAGGATTCAAAACATAAAAGCAATAAAAACACAAACATGTTACCAGAAAGGCCCTGCTGAATCAAGTAACAGCTAATTTAAAAAGCAACCTGAGAAAGTAGGTTAAAAAAAAAAATCTTCTAGCCAGGAGAACCATTTCTTAAATGTATTAACAGTACCAGTCTTGGCCATACCTGTGTTTATGATCTGATTGGTAAGGTTTTTAATGAGAGAGGTGTTAATGGATGCTTCATTAAGGAGGAGTCCCAATCCTGAGTAGCCAACTTCTCTGAGTTGAATACGGTGTTTACTACGTTCGTAAACATTTGTGCATTTCAACATCAGTTCCATAACCTGATTACAACAAGTAATATAGTTTTCTCAATATAAAGAAACTATGAACAGTTTGTCATCTAGGCTAATACTGAATAAGACATTTCTCTATATCAATTTTTAGAATATTATTTTACTGTTTAGTATAAAAAAAAATCACCACTACATTACTATCATAAAAATGGATTTAAGAATAAATTGGACGGAAATGTATCTATAGTTGAATAGTATGTTTAAAAATCTGGTTTTAACATAAAAGAGAAATGAATACATGTAGCTTGCATGAGGAACAAAGCTGTGTCAAGACCCCTCTAAATCAATCTAATACTGAATTCACTTCTGTAACTTTTGTTTTGTTTTGTTTTTTTGAGTTCAATGGAATTCAAGTTGGCCTTGAAATCATCATGCAGCCCAGGCTGGTCTCAAACTTGCAGCCATCTTTCCACTTTGGCCTCCAAGTGCTGGGACTACTGATATGTGACACCATGCTTTAGCTATTTCTGTAACATTTATCAAAATAATTTTCAAGAACAAGAAAGGACTTGTGAAGTGACCCAATCCAAATGCTAAAAGAGAGATGGAATGAGTGGCCTGATGTTTGAGGTGAGATCAACACTTAACAAAAAAAGAGGTACTATAATCTTATATGGAAAGGTTAATTTTGGCAAAACATCATAAACAATCTATGCAAGATTGTTTTTTAAGAAATAATACTGAATTGCCATAAAGGAACTCTCGTGAGGACAGATGTTCTAAAGAACAATGTCAGGCTAGGAATGCAACGCAATGGTAATGCACCCACCAGGCAAGTGCAAGGTCCTGACTTCAATCTCCAGTACTGCGGGGGGTGATGAGGGGTACCCAGCCTCAAGGGGTCACCATAATCAATACTCAAGAGGTACCATTTCAGACTATCCTGCATCTTTATTTTGAGTTTAGGAATTGTGAACATAGGGAATCCAAACATAATTCCATAAAGAGCCTTTACGTGAACAGTATCAGAATAAACAACTGTCACCAATTAGGCATAACCAACAGAAGAAACATGAAAAAAGTACACCTACTTTTAGAAATATGAATAATTCTTCTAATTTTAGATAACAAAAAGGTGAACTGGGTGGCTTTGGCCAAAGTTCAAAGTCTTGGATATTTTGGATAACTTAATAATATATGTTCAATCTTTTGCTAAGTCACTACCTTCTCTGGCTTTAGTTTCTCCATCTGCAAAATGGAAATAACAGCAATAACCCCGTAACAAAGTTGGTAAGGATTAAGGAAACTATTATATTTGAATTTCTTACTACTTGACATACAGTGGGTACCATGCAGGTCAGCTTTTTTTTTTTTTTTTTTTTTTTTGCAGATTAACGCTGTGTAGTTTAGGTTGGCCTTGAACTCACTATGTAGCCCAGGCTGGCCTTAAACTTGAGGCAATCCTCCTGCACCATCCTCCTGAATGCTAGAAATCACATGCATGTGCCACAATTCCCCTACAGGTCAGCTAATACTATTAACTGTTAAAATGTTCTGAACTGGCATACAGATCCGCCATAAGTTAAAAAGGAAATGAGATGCTTTATATTGAGGATGGTATAATAAGGTGGATACACCACTGAGATAATTCATCAGGTTATAATATAATTAGTTTAACATGAAAAATAAAAATCAAAATAAACTGAACTTAAAATAGGTAAGAACAGGTATGTTGCAAGGAAATTCATATATCCACAAATGACCCCATATATGAAGATGGTTAGATGTCTGTACCTTAAAAACAATTTCCCTTAGTTTATCAGAGTACTTCTGATTTAAGAGCAAGGCATAAAGGATGTCAGCATTTCCTGGTTCAAACAGCAGTAAGAAAAGTTGGCCTCTAGTTGGGCTGGTACGTAGAAGACTGCAGAGTACATCCAAAATTCCAAAGAGCTTTGAAAATTAACACCAAAACAAGGAGTCACATGAGTGTATACAAGCACATAAAATCATAAACTACACAACAGTTATTTAACGAAAACCTATATAGACTATAGACCAATGCTTAGCTTTACTGAACTACGATTTCTTCTGAGTCTGCCCTTGCCTGTTCTTTCTGACATACGGATTTTTAAACCAGTTTTTCCTTATTCTCTCCATATCAGACCTGTGGAAACTATCCTTATCCTTCTGCCATGTAAAAAGCCATCTCTTTGGTTTTGTTTTTTTTTCAATAGCACAACACTTATTGGTATATTTTAGGCATATATAATGATAACACTCATCATAGGGAATTTGCACCTACACATGGTACATCCTTGAAAGGGCATCTCTGCCATGACACTGTTTTTCCTGATCTGCTCAACATGTAAAATCTTCCTGTACAAACCTCATAGAACTTCCTATCTCTTTTGATATTAGTATGCTCTTCTGGCTTCACACTTACTTATAAGCCTCTCTTATGCCTCTATTAGGTTAAAAGAATGATAATGTATTCATCTTTGTATTATTGTCAGTGTCTAATATTATTGTCTATATATATACTGACTTCTTAACAAATAACTCTTTGAATTGATCAAAAAATATCACTGGCCACGAATCACAGATATAGGTATCATGTAATAAAATAGCTATTAATCATTCTAAATGTTGAGAAATTTTGCTTTTTGTTTTTTTTCTTTGTGTTTTGTTTGGCATTTTGTGCTACTGGGGATTGAAACTACAGGCCGCATGCATGCTAGGCAAATACTCTATCACTGAATTACATTCCTAGCCTTTTATAAGGACTGAAATGTATAATGAATGTTGGGAAAAGAGAAGAAAGTGTTCAAATGGGAAGGGGAACAAGGAAGGAGGGAAGGAGAAAGGAAGGGATAAAAAAAGTGAAAATAGAAGGAAAAAACTGAAGCAAAGCTTCTGTACATAGGGAGGAGAGGGAGCTTGGGGGGTGCAATAAAATAAATTTAGTTTAAAAAGATAAGATCTTTTGAAGTTGCCTAGACTGGCCACAAACTTGGCAATCCTCCCGCCTCATCCTCCCTAGTAGCTGAGGTTGCAGACATGTGCCATCATGTCCAGTAACGGAAGTTTTTGAAGCAATCCAATTAACATGAAAATAACCTCCGTTAACTCATCTGTATAATACCAATTATCAAGTAACCACTGAGTACACAATGAGCATGATATGTAAAAGCAAAATATTTTAGTCAATATAAATTAAGGCTGCCCAAACTTGTGGTGGTCAGAGTACTATAAAAAAGGAGCATAGAAATATCAGAAAATATTTTTGGGTCCTAGTTTTAGGTAGATCAGATATGCAACTTTTTAAGTTTAAATGAAAAGAGTAATTTTTGGCTTGTATATTTTACATTAGTGATTCTCAAATTTTAGACATGTATCAAAATCACCTGGGGTGCTTGACTCATTTAGTTAAATCAGTACATACTGTATTGGCATTTCTAGAAAGCTCCAAGGTTAAAACTGGTCAGGGATGGACATTAGGAATTACTATTTTGGGGGCCAGGGATTTAGTTCAGTGGTTCAGGTGCCTGACTCTCAAGTGCAAGGACCCAAGTTCGATCCCTGGTACCACCAAAAAAAAAAAAAAAAATTACTGCCTTGGGGTCCAGATCACTGCATCTAAAGGCAGATCCTAGCCAGGAATTAACTCCAACCCCAGAGGCTCGGGCAACCTGCCCAGCCAAGGCCGGACAGGAGAGAGCTGTAGAGGCATAAAAACTTTAGTCAGAGGCCTGCCCCATAGCATTAGTAAGTGTGTGCAGAACCCAGGGAGCAGTGATGTGGTCCAGACCAGTGCACCTGCAGGCAGATCCCAGCCAGGGATCCACCCTGACCAGAGAGGCTAGGGCAAGCCTGCCCAGCAAAGGGCAATCCAGGAAAAAACTGCACAAGTTTCAGTCAGAGGCCTGCCCCATAGAATCAGTGGTTTGAACCCAGGAAATGGTATACTGGTGAGCAGCAGAGAAAAGGCCTTTTGGTGGCTTGCTGAGAATTGAAGACCACTGGGTGAGCAAAAAGTTTTCTCAATAAAGGCATAGCAGGCTGCATCTCTTAAAATGAGAAGACAGGAAAACAAGTCCCAAAACCAGACTTTCAGATCACCTAAGGCAATCCTAAATGGAAATGTGATGGAACAATCTGATACTCAACCACCTAGACTCCCTGAACTGGCAACAAAAGAGAATCTGGAAAAAATGAAGTCACAAATAATTTCTCAGATAGCAGGAGAGATTGTGCCCACAGTACAAGACATGATTGATAAATCTAGAACAGACACAGATTTTTAAAAAATAGAGGAACTAAGGAACATGATGAATCCCAACATAGGAAATAAATTGAATCCATAAAACATATGCAAACAGATTTCCAGGAGATTAAAAATTCCATTAAAAGTTTATGCAGCAGAATGAGCCAATACAAAAATAGAATTTCAGATATAGATGATAAGATTGCAATTAGTGAACAGGAAAATTAAAGTTTCTTAAAAATAGTAAGGGGAGCTGGGCATGGCCGCACTCATGCCTGTAATTTCAGCACTCAGAAGGCTGAGGCAGGAGGATTGCTGTGAGTTAGAGACCAGCCTGGGCTACATAGTGAGTTCCAGGTCAGTCTCAACTACATAGTGAGACCTTGTCTCAAAAAACAAAACAAAACAAAAAGGGAACATGAGAAATCAATCCAACAGCTGCTAGATGAGCAAAGAAGAATAAAATAAGACTGATTGGAGTCAATGAAGAAATATGAGAAAGTCCAGACAACATAAAAAAACTGCTCACAGAAGTAATGGCAGAAAACTTCCCCAAAAGGGGAAAACAATTTGACACACAGATAAGTGAGGCATAAAGGACTCCAACTAGCCATGATAAAATAATAATAATAATAATAATCTACACACATGCATATAATAGTTAAGATTCCAGAAATCCAACGAAGAACAAAATTCTACAAGCAGAGAAAAGAAACAAATCACATACAAAGGAAAGCCTATCAGAATCACAGCAGATGTCTCAACACAAACCCTAAGGCAAGAAGAGCTTGGAGTGATGTGTTTCAAGCCCTAAAGGAAAACAGCCTCCAACCCAGAATGATGGACCCTAGAAAACTATCTTTCAAAATTGATGGAAAAATAAGATACTTTTATGACAAAGAGTATGGTAGGAACTTCATGAGTACCAAACCAGCATTCCAAAAAATTTGAAATAATATCCTAGGAAACAACAACTAGGATAACAATCCCAGGAAGCCCAGCAGAATGAATTCATCAGACATGACAAGAAATTAAATGAAAAGTGAGAGAATTCAATAAAAAAAAGTCATGACAAGGATAAGTCAATACTATCAGTTATAACCATCAATGTTAATGGTCCCAATTCACCAAACAAAAGAAATGGACTAGCAGAATGGGTCAAGAAGCAAGATCCAACAACATACTGCATACAAGAAATACACTTAATTCAAAAGAAACTAATAGACTGACAGTTAAAGGGTGGAAAACAATATTCCATGTGCCAGGAACCCAGAAAAAGCAAGAGTAGCTATCCTCTTTGCAGATCATGTTGATTTCAAACCAACACTGATTAAGAGAGACAAAGGAGGACACTACATCCCTATAAAGGGAACAGTCCAAGATGAAGAGATCACAATCACAAATACATATGCACCAAACACTAGTGAACCCATCTATATAAAACAAATACTAATGGACATGAAAAATCAAATAAGCACCAACGCAATAGTAATGGGGGATCTTAATACCCCACTGTCCCAAATGGATGCATCAACTAGACAGAAAATAAACAACAAATGGGCTAGGGATTTGGCTCAGTAGTTCCACTGCCTGCCTTAAGAACACAAGGGCCCTGGCAGAATGGATTAAGAAGCAAAATCCAACAATATGTTGTATACAAGAAACACACCTAGTGCAAAAGGAAGTCCATAGACTGAAAGTGAAAGGATGGAAAACAATTCTCCATGCGTCAGGAGTCCAGAAAAAAGCAGGGGTAGCAATCTTATTCTCAGATAAAGTAAATTTCAAACCAAAA